AGTAAAGACTCTGCTTGATGTTTACATCTCCAATCCCGTGTATTTGTTATCTGGAGGGGACCCATCGAGTCACGGACCCTAACAGTGCATATTTTAGCCAGCACTACGTATTTATAATTTCATGAGTTTCTTTGGCTTGAAACAAAGATACAGAGAGATGACAGATTTGATAAGCTACCTGTATTTTATTTTGTTTTGCATATTCTATTGTTTTGGGCCCTAATGTTACAAAGGAATTGATTTGAAAAGAACGAGCAGGAAAGAAAGTTTACACACAGGATCAGCACCAAGAATTTTACCTTGCAAAGCCAACGCCCCTGCTGACTCCATTAGCGTCTCTGAGGATTCTCGTGGATATCACATGTCCGAAGGGTTTCAGCATGTTCTCAAGCTCCTGCTCATCCATAGAGATGGGGAGGTTGGAGATGTATAGGTTTGTAGGGTCTTGCTCTTGTTGCTAAGGGAAGAAAAGAAATGTAAGTTCTGACTGTTGACAAGCACTGCCCAAAGGAAGGTACTGTTACTTAGACTGCAGTCGAGATTCTAGTCCCTAAAACTGCTGAAAGTACTTAAATTATGGACACTGCTTCTTTCTTTTGGCTTTTCTTTCTCTCTTTCTTGCCCTTCTTTCCCTTCTTCCTCCCTCCCTCCCTCTCTCCCTAGCTCCCTTCCTTCCTTCCTTCCTTCCTTCCTTCCTTCCTTCCTTCCTTCCTTCCTTCCTCTTTTCTTTTAAGATAGTGTCTCATTGTGTAGCCCAGGCTGGCTTGGAGTTCATTATCTTTGTGCTTCAACTATCCAGTGCTGGGATTATAGGTGTGCATCACCACAATTGGCCACTATTTCCTGTTACTGAACTCCCTTCCTGTGTAGAATGTTTATCATAGAATAATGCCATCAAGAAAGCCAAGCACTCTGTCTTGCTTCCTTATAAAAGATAAGTGCACTTATAGTGCAACTGAATTCAGGTGAACACAGATAAAATCGTATCTCCTATCCATGAGGCAGACATACCACAACACCTGACATCTCAAATGCCATGTGGCAGTGAACTTATAATTATGTTTTTCCATCTGGACTCAGTGTTTGTTATGATGAAGTATGAGAGTATGAAGTATGAGAGTAAAACCCTCGTGGATTTGATTTTCTTTCATAATTTCAAGTATAGAAGACTCATTAAGACTACAGGCCTTAGTGATCTCTTGGTACAATTTTTTTAAGCTGTGGACTTTTATCTTCTTACGTTATAGTTTGCCTTGGCATACACACAACTCCAGTGTTACCATATTTGCTATGTGAGGTGGTTTTTGAGAAGATAAGGGATCCTGAACAAGCACTGCAAAAACATCTAACAACTGAGAATGCCATTGAGTGACTGACTGACAGGTAGGTTGTATACAGGGCTTGGATCTACTGAACGAAGGAATGATTTACAACCACAGCAGGCAGAACATAACAACATGAAATTTCACCGTGCACCTGAATGGTGGCAATATGCAAATTACAAATTATAATTAAGAATATATTTCTGGAATTTTCATTGGTTATTTTCAGTCTGTGGTTGACTGTGGGTAATTGAGACCCCAGAGCTCGAGTCACCACCGGAGGGCACTGGACTCTCTATGAGCTACTGCTCTTCCTAATCTACTGTCACTCTAGTTACTGATGCTACATTTGGTGAGGTGTTGTTCTAAGGACTTGGATGAACTTTTTTCACTCACTGTTTCTGTAAGATACAATTCCGTTTTACAGATGACAGAATCGGTCCAGAATTTGTCTATATGGCACAGTTCACAAGTGTCAAAGGCAAGGCAGATCTCTAGCCTATCACACTGCCCCTGAGCTCTGAACACTGCCTTCCACCAGAGGAGTAAATGTCATGCTGCGGACCCAGATCGTCAGCATCAACATCACCCAAAACCAGGTAAGGTGATAAACACCTGCAACCTGAGCACTTAGGAGGAGGAGGCAGGACAGTTAGAAGTTCAAGGCTATGCTCAGCTTCATAGGACATTTGAAGCCTGCCTGAGCTTCATGAGAGACTATCTCAAAATAGATCAATTTAAAATAAACACATTTTTAAAGTGTCCTGGAAACTAGCTAGAAATGCCAATTCTCAGGTCCCACTATGAAATACTGAATCACGAACTCCAAATGTGGGCTGAGCAGTCTGTTTTGACAAGCCCTCCAGATGACTTAAAACTGTGTAAATCTGAGCGATGCCATCTTTGACCAAACTTATATGCAAATGAGATCATTAGGTCTACCACTTGAGTCTCATGATGCTCATACAAGTTTTGCTTAAGAACATGGGACACCAAACCACAATTGTTAACATTATTTGTATGTGTAAACATTCTTAATTCATACAAAAATTGACAAATGAAAACTTAGCCATATTTATGTTGAAACAGTTGTACTGTCAGATTAAGTCACAGCCATAATGACATGATTAATCATGAATATCAAAATACGTCAGATATTTAATTGAGTCACTCTAATTTAACCAAAACAACAACTTTAGTTTCATAAATAAACAAGAGATTTAACCAATAAAAGAAATCCTGGAGGCAAGTAGAAATGCTATTGTATAACAATAAAAACCTGCAATTAGAAAATTAATGATTTAAAAATATAATGAAAAATTATAAAAACAAGTTTCCAAATATTATTGTAGATGAAGAAATAATTTTGTACGAAATAGAATTGCTTTATTTATTTATTTTAGTTTTTTAAGACAAGTTCTCCCTGTACCCCTCAGTTGGCCTGGAACTCACTATGTAGACCAGGCTGGCCTTGATCTCACAAAGATTCTCCCTGTCTCTGTCTTCCAAGTGCTGGGCTCAAAGGTGGGTGCCACCACACCTGGTTCGACATTCTTTTCTACAGCTCTAAATATAGGTCTACATTTAGGTCATGATATCTTTATGAAGACTTGAGAGGAATAAGATCATTGAGCATTTTTTAAACATAATTTACTTTTTGAACTTTTTTTATTACCATGGAATATAGCAAGAATGAACACATAATCTGTCTGGAAAAGACCATACCTTTAACATTTGAGAGTCGTGTTCATGTGGAAAATGTTGAACTGAGGCCTTTACATTTCTCTCCCCCCCGCCATACTATGGCCAATACATGTCTTGATCATAGCAGGAAAATAGAGATAATATTATCTTTGCCACTGGATAGTTGATGCAGTCTCCCTGATACTTCAGATACATAATAATGAGTCTTATGCACATAAAGTTTCCAACGTTTACAGTATTTTACTATCTATCACTTAATTTTAATCTTCCTATCATCACCGCAAAGGTATTTTGGCAAATATCATTGTATGTGTTGGATAATGAGGAGAGGGAACCATGAAAGATTTATCATCCCGCCCAAGGGCAATCTGATAATTAGTGACAGAGTTAGAATTAGACTTTGCAACCATTTTTCCTATCTTCAGGTTCAGTGTATTTTCTATCAGTCCAATGTTCCCCACGTTTCCATCATTTGCATATTAGATCTTAGAAATGTTTGCCTGCCATGTGCTATTTATTCAAAAGTTTTCTCTAAACTAACATGCCTTTAGGACTTAAATGAACTCATTTAAAACTATGTTTTTATGTTGTTCATATAACTGAAAAGCCAGGGTCTCTTACCATAAATAGAAGGTTACTATCAAACAGTGAACATATTAACGAATTAACAGTATTAAATTCTAGCTAGACAGTGTATGTTTGCAGAAGGCGTTGACATTTCTGCTTGGCTTTGTTGCAAAGGAGACTCTTAATGAAGAGAGGTGTGAGAGACACATTAGCACATTTGTTTTAAACAGGGAAGAGTCAGAATTGACAAAGCGCTGTGAAAGGAACAACTTCTATTTTAATGCATATGCATGTGGGGAGAGGGTGTGTGTGTGTGTGTGTGTGTGTGTGTGTGTGTGTGTGTGTGTGTGTGTGTTTAGACTAAAGGACAGTCTCAGGTCGACCTCAAGTCTCCTTCACAGGAACTCCGTTCACACCTTTGAGATGGGTCTGTCATTATCCTGGGTTTCACCAATCAAGCTAGTCTGACTGACCAGGGTATCCTGAGGAGCCACTCGTCTTCACTCTGGAGTTACTAGCACACACCACCATAGTTGGTATTTTTACGTGGGTGCTAGCGATTAAACTCAGGTCCTTATGCTTTTTAGGTAAGCACTTTACCCACTGAGCTATGTCCCCAGCTCTATGAACAATTTGCTTTTTCAATGAGAAATACATCGAGGAATACATGTTCAAACATTTAGGAGTCCTGCACTTACCCAGACCTTTCCAGTTGGATGGGCCACAGGCAAAGGTAGACTCATGATGGGTTGGGGCTTGCCCAGTGCTCTATGCTCTTTTACTCTGGGTGAAATGGAATCGCCACAAGCCACCTACACCATGGTACCACATGCTGCTCTGATTTTGTTATTTTTCTCTAGGCCAGTTTAGCTCCATTCAAGTCCATTTCCAAATTCCCTATGTGTTGAGTGCATGGCAGCTACTCAAAATAATGTACCATAAACAGGATTGCCCAGTAAGTTGTTCTCTGAATCTAAATTCAAACAGCAAGGCTGATTCCTTAATTTGTATTCAGAGAGGAGACGGCATTTGATGGGGTCATTTCTTAATTTGTATTCACAGAAAGAATAGGGCTTTGGGCAGTGATATTCATTAAGTAATTCCATCCTCTGAAATGCAGTGTTAGTCTTGAATATATTGGCTGACAAGAGAATTCAAGTTCTTCACAAAATGAACTTAAAAATACTACATACTCTTGTAGTTCTCCTTTCTATTTTATTTACAGAGCAGACTTAAGTGGGTGGTCATATGGGGGACGGTCAATTAGTACTATGAACCAAAAACACTTTTAGCTTTTCAAAGAATTTCTCCTGTGATAGGTATGACCTAAAAGAACATTACAGGCTGGCCTCAGACTCACTATGTGGTTAAGGAGGACCCTAACTTCCTGGTCCTTCTGCCTCTAGTTCCTGAGTGCTGGTATTATAGATTACAGGCATGCATCTCTACATCCTGAATATGTTGTCCTTGTGACTGAAGTCAGGACTTCACAAATGCTTAACAAATACTTCACCACCAGAGCTATATCCCCAGCCTTTGACTTAACTTTTTAACAACAGGCAGCTTCAGGATGTATAGAATGGACAACTTGTCCAAGCTTGTGATTTAATATATGGAAAAAGCAAAGCTAATAGGCTAGTTTTGCTAGTTTCAATATAGTTCAAGGAGTTAGTAACAGGCTAGCAATAAAGCAAAAGGGGCCCATGTACTTTTGTACTGGGTCTTACTGCCTTCCCAATTCAAAACACTGAGTTTACCGTTAAATTTCAATGACTAGAAAATGGCAGATTATGGATCTATGGAATATTATAACAGACAGATTTAGAACTTATGCATTCTTTGTTAAGTTCACTTTGTGCTATGC